TGCACAAATTAAACAACGATATCAACAACTGTATAAGCGTTCATTAGCTCAAGATGTTAGTGGAGATACATCAGGCGATTATAAACGACTTCTTTTATCTATTGTAAAATAATAGTTACTACTTTTGTTTTTGTGTGACAACGAGAATTATTTTGAGAATTTTTTAGTGATTGAAATAAAAAGTAATTATTTAATATGATGCAAAGATTTAACCCTTCGTGTATGTTCTCATTTTTGAACTTCGTGGTTGTTTCGGGGTCCATCTGGATCCGCTCATGAAAGTTCATCAAAAAACAAAGTTTTAGCGTTACTAAAGCTTTTCATTTGTATATTATAATCATATAGATGCTTCAGTTTTATTAGAATATGAACGCATTTCGTGCTAAACATTGTAAAAGGGCTCCGTAGTACAGATAAGGATTGAGCAGAATCTTTTGAAAATGACAGATTTCACGCTCTTTTTACTAAATATGAGTCATTATTATAAGTAGCGAAGGCAAAAGCCAATCGAAACAAATCGTTAGAAAGGAAACATCACTACGAGAGAATAAATAGCAGCAATATCACCATGGTTGTTATGGGGTCCACAAGGACCCGTAGCTGCATTTTTTCTCCGTTGGACCTACTCATGATTTCTCATATGGGTAGTGTGTACCAACAAAAGACTAGAAACTGGATGTGAGAACCGATCGGAAATAGAAACTATTAAGAGAGAATTTAGTAAAAAGCTGCAAAGTGGGTCCTTTTAGAGCCCACAACATCAACAGAGTGTTAACTCAATGCTCCTAAATTACTGTGAATATTGTCTTTAAAAGATTTGTATATGGTATGAAAAATCAACGACGTACATGTATACATATATGAATGCACTTTGAATCCTTCGAGCAAACGTAATATGTAATTAGAGTCTATTGTTGTGATCTCAAGCGGACTTCTTCTTCCTATAAAGATCAATAAGTGTTTATTATGCATTTTATTTGATATATTTCGATTTTTTGAAAGTACAAAACATAAATAATTTTCTTTGAGATTTGAATTATTCTTAAAATTTCTAATGATTTACAAGAAATGTTTTTTTTTTATTTATATTTTAATTTTAAGCGTGTTATTAATCACTGATTTCCATTTCTCATATGTAATAATAATATACGCCAAAAAATAAAAGACAAAATTAATACGAATAAAATGTCAATGAAGTGTAAAATAGAAGAATAAAGTATTTTTCTTAATGATACACAATAGGAACGGGTAAGATAGGACGAGATTGTGGTGATTGTGCAGTATTACGTCGTGGAGGAGGAAGATTTTGATCATCATTGAATAGTACGGGTTTTTCTGGATGATAAAGTGTACCTCTGTATAAAACAAAAAATATATGTACTGAAAATAATGAATCAATTTTTAAATAACATACGTTTTAGCTGAATACCATTGACGAATTGGATGTGGATGAGCTACACCTGTTTGTTGAAGTTCAAAATTTAGACGTTTTTGATATTCAACTTCTGCTTGCATTCCTTCAGCATATTCACGTTGATTTTCATATTCTTCCTAAAAACAAATTCGAACAAATTTGTGTTTTTTTTATTTTGTAAATATTTCATTATACCTCCTGCTTCTTTCTTTGTTCATAACTCATTTGTCCTAATAAAGTTTGTCGATAAGCAAGTCGTTTTGTTCTATTTTGTGCTTCACGTTCTGCATCTTCTAATTTAACTTGTTCAGAAATATTTTTAAGATTATCTTTTTGCCATTGATATTCGTTTGCTTCTTGAGCTTTTCTTTCCTCTAAATTAGGTTGAAAAATATTATCGATTATAAATATAAAATTATAGAATCATACGTTTTTCGACTAATTGCTGTTGTCGACCTCCAACAACTTCTCGAAGAAGTTTAGCACGTTTTTCATTTTCAGCACGTACTTTTTCTAAACGCTTCGCATTTTGTTTTTCTAATTCTTCTTGTACAATACGATCAAGTTCAGCTTGTTGTTTTTTTTCATCAAATTTACGTTGTTCAACATAAGTACGATAACGTTCACTTTCATTACGAAGTTCCAACTAAAAATATACAACGAATAAATCTTCTGAATTCTTTTATTGAATACGGATAAACCTTTCGTTGATTTCTATCATTTTCTTCATTCATAGTTGCTTGCTGACCTTCTTCAGTAAGTTTATCTTCAAGTGCTTTTTCTGCTTCAGCTCGACGTTGTTGAACTTTATTTTTAGTACTAGAAAGTAACATTCGTTTCATATTATTTTCTATGAAAGATTAATTTACTTTAAAACAGTATCAAGTACACGTTTTTGTTCTTCTTGTTTGCGTAATTTTTCTTGAAATTCAGCAATTTTTTCATCTTTTTGAGCACGAAATTGTATCCACTAAAGAATTTTAGAATGAAATCAAATCTACGAAAGAAAATATTTACAGCAGCGTCGGAATTTTCTTTTCGTTTATTTTTCATTTCATTTCGTTCTTCTTCTACCGCTTGCATTTGTTCACGTATCATTTTAGTCGTATTTTCTATTTTTAGCTTGGCTTCTTGAGCATCACGATCTTCACGTTCTTTCTTTTTCGCAATATCATTATACCATAATTGAGTCCAAAATTCTTCTTCTGCCTAAAAATGATTTCTATGTTTATTAAAAAATAAAATCAACAATTATTCTTACTTTTTGATCTTTTTTTCTATCGAATTTTTCTTTCATTTGCCATAAATGTTCACTACCTAATTCTTGATCTAATTCTTTGGATTGAAGTTCACGTAATTCAGCACAATCACGTCGAAAACGTTGATCATATTTTTCTTGAACAACTCTTGCATGTTCACTCTCTTTTTCTTCACGTAAACGTTTGGCTTTTTGACGCATTTTACCGATACGTTCAGATAAAGTTTCTTGTGATGATGTTGCTTCTTGAAGATATTGGGCATCTTCAGTCGCAAGTAATTCGCGTAAACTAAAAATTCAAATAGACAGTTATATTCATTTTCTAGACTTTATAAATACCGTTCACGTCGATCTTCAAGTTGATTATCAGCTTGATTTAATCGATTTTGTACTTCACGACGAACTTGAGCATTAAAAGCTTTATTTGATGTTGATTTATCATAGTTTATTCTGTTTAATTCCATTTTATCTTCTCGATTATATTTTTCACGTCCTTCACGAACATCTTCGATTTCTCGATTTTTTGTTACAAGATTTTTTTGTGGTCGATGGGGTTTTTCGAGCTAAAGAATAATAAATATGATTTCAATATTTATTAAAATTTTATTTACCAAGCCAAATTGACCAGGTTGTGGTCCAATAATATCACGAGTACGGATCGGTGCGTAAAGACTTGTAGCCATCAGAAAAAGAAGTACGACTCAAAACAATTTCTATTCTTCTTCTCCACTCGATTAATTAAATACAAAATAATGTGCCATTTCAGAAAAACTCTCCAAGTAAAAGACTTTACATATGATTTACTTTACAAATGAATTCTTAAAAATATATTCAATATTTTTAATAATATTTTTCATATCAATCTAGATCAATTTTTTAAATTTATTTCTATTAATTATTATAAACGACATCTATAAAAAAAACTTGATAATTGTTGTCAAGGCGACACATTTGATTTATTTGACTAGTATGATATTATAGAATATATATCATAATTTACAGATCAGTTTATCATAATGCTGTTTGGTAAGATTTAGTTTTTTTCAATTATTTAGCTTCTCTGCTAATTTAGAAAACTATCTATCTATATATTAGAATCATTCTTTGCATGATTTGCTTTGCTTGCTTATCTTAGGTGATGAACCTCCTGCAAAAATTGCATTTGGTACAACAGCAGTTAATAGACCAACATTTCCAACTGATATAGCTCATGATTGCTTTGGAAATGGTCAAACACCATTACGAGGCGTTCCTAATGTGTAAATTTCTATCTTATCTATGATTATTTACTTGCTATTTATGCTTTTATCTAATGCTTTATTATCTATAGTGGACCAGGCTCATATAATAATGAGGAAAAGACAACATTTCGATATGTACTTGATCAGCAACCGATGAGTCGTCGTGGATATACTTTCAATGCACGTACAGAAATGCGAAAAACCTTTGAAGTGAAGGTGATTCAAACGAATATTTTGCTTGATGATTTATCTATCATTAGAATTTACGATTGAATCTATTCATTTCTTTTTTTTAAATCCATATAGAATAATAATCCAAGTCCGGATACATATCAAATGGATCTTACACGTATACCTGAGAAAAAAAGAGCATTTAAACCTTTTAATGAAATATCAGAAAGATTTAAAGCACGTGCTCGAAGTGCTGATGTACCAGGGTAGAATATTTTCTTTTATTATTATTATTATCTACTATCAATATGTTTTTTCGTTTTCGGAAATTAAAGACCTGGAAGTTATGAATGTGATGTTAAACAAAATCGTCAAATTCATATGCTTCATAGTTTCGGTGGTCGAGCAAAACTTATTCCAGCTATTAAAACAAAATGTATGGCATTAAATACGGATAAGGTTTGTTAAGAGCCTATTGTTTTTCTATCTATATGATTTTATTTTTTTAGTGCGCAGTTTGTCAGCAAGCAGCTATTGGAGATTATTATCAATATCGAAATGAAGTTCTTTGCTCCAAATGTTTTAATTTCAATTGGCAATGGCAAGAAAAATATAAGAGAACGTAGGGATTTAAAGAAAAATGATATTATATATTCAAAACAAAACTTTTATTCATTAGATATCTTCAAGCTTTTCAAAAAGTTCGTGATTGTTCTTCTATCCATGATCATGCAGGAACTTCAGCTAAAATTCAATTATCAGATGATAAACTTACAACCAAACTTCAACGTAAAGAAGCTTATCTTAGTCTTTACTGGGCATAAATAATATTTTTTTTTTATAAATAAAAATAAATTTGTATTATCAAACTAAAAGTTTTATCTTTCATAAAATACATTCTAGATTATTTTTAAAAATGTCAAATTCTCATAATGCTGCAGGAGTTGAACGACTCAAAGCTGATATTCAACATGAAGAAGAGATTAAGTAAGATTCATATTCATATTAATAATACTAATCTACTTTTATTTAAACTATAGATCAACACTTGAACAATCCTGTCAAGAATTACAAAGCACTGCTGTTGAATTAGAAAAACGATTAAAAATGATTGATGAAGAAAGTATGTTGAATTATATTTCTTTTGTCTTTTTAATAAAAATTTCATATAGTGAATACTCATGCTGATGTAGGTGGATCAGTAGAAGGTATTTGTAATTATTTAAGACACTAGCATAATCAAAATCTAAGCGTGTTATTTTTATCTAACAAAAAATATATTTATTAAAGTGGAAATGTTTTTTGCTTTTAATTGATTTCAGTTGAAGGTTAATACTTTTTTTTATATCATAAGGTAATGAATGGAAAACTCGTTTTGAAAATCAAGAAGAAATTAATCGTCATTTAACAAGACAAATTGTTTTACTTGATAAAAATATTCAACAAGCAAAAGAAGAACTTAAAGGCGGTAGGTAAATAAGAGATTTTCGAGATAAAATTTCTAAAAAAAACATTTCTTATTTTTAGCAAAAACACGTGCGTTGAAAGTAAATCCGAATGAAGTAAATATTATTATTTGTTTTTTCAAATAATTTAATGTCTACGTTGTTGTTCTCAAGGTCGGCCCAGAAGCACTTCTTAGTGTAGAAAATGAAAAAAAAAGTTTATTAAGTCAATTACGTGATTTTGAATGGCGATTAGAACAAGAAAATAAGGTTATTCATTCATATTCAAAATAAAATTTACTTTTTTTCTTTTCAAGGCTTATCATAAAGCAAATGATGAACGAAAACTTTTAACAAATGAAATAACTGATGTTCGAAGTATGATTATTAGAATTGAATATCTAACAATGATTTATATTTAAAATAGATGCAATATCAGTTATAAAAGAACGATCACATGCAGCGGATTATAATAAAACAGATCGAAGTGGACATGTATCTTATCGAGAACCAATTGAGTATGATTCATAATAGGATTTTATTACATATATATTTTATTCTATTCTATTTAGTAATAATCCAATGGATAAACGTCTTGATCCAAAGAAAGGTCCAATTAGTCGAAATGCAGCACCACGTTCATTACCAAGATTGGATAAATAGAATGATAGTAGAAGATAGGAAGATTTTGTACTGCAATGGGTATTGGGACTGCTTTACTTCTCGGTGTTATATTGTTCGTGTCTGTATTTGAGATAATTTCCTTCATCGAATCTACTATTTTATTCTCATTTTTGTTTTGTCTGCTGTGTATAATTATGTTCAGGTACATTGGGAGTCTCATAGATTGCGCAAAAAAAAACTAACGAATGCTTATAAATTCTATTTTTTAAGTCTTCTTTTGCTTTTTATATTTATTTATATATATATAGTGTCTACAAACCGAATTTTTTTATTCGATTAAGAGATATACGGAAAAAAACGTTCCAATATTAAAGCAATTACTACTATCAAAAAATAACAACACAAACAACGTCAAAAAAAAATTTAGATAAAAAGCAAAAAATTATGGTAATTCAGCATTTGTTTGAGAAATAATATGTGCAATATTACGTTCTAAATCATCGATTCGTTTACCCATATCATCAACTAAAAGAAGAGGAAAAAAAATAAAAATTATACGTGAATTTATTTTTACTTTTTGTCATAATTGAATCACTCATTTGTCCGAATTTATCTTGAATTTGACAAATAGTATTTTGAATCTAAGGAATAAAAGGAGAATCAATAATGTATATTAAAAGAAAACAAATATTTACTAAATTAACAAATTCTTGAGCATTTTGTGGTTCACGTATTGGATATTCTTGATTGGTAATTGATACTACGTTTGAATTTGTCATGATCTAAACAAGTCAAAATAAAATCGATTGATGTTGTACCACTTTCCCCTTCGTTTTTTTTCATCATACTTAACTACTGTTGGTTAGAAGAAGAAGAAGAGAAAAATGTCTTGGTTTGACGTGTTTTGACTTTATTCTGGTGGTTGTATGTGAACGACTCAACGATAGAAAATGAGCGACGCATACCGACCAATGTTGCAGTTACAGAATATGCTTCATTCAATAGAAACGAGAAGCAAAAAAAAACAGAATGGAACTTTTTTTTCCTGCTTTCTTTCTCTATTAAGAGCAAAAATTTTAAGTAGGTTTCATTCATCAGCAAGTAACTGGACACTATTTATTAAGTGATGAAACAAAGTCGAATAATATCCATGTTCAAGGATATTAAAAAAGAAAAAATTTTTTTTGTGCATAACAATAAAAAATAAATGAAATGTCAATATTTAGTATTCCATTTAACTTCACTTAATTGATATTGATTTTGTTAAATTTCATCATGTAATGTCAACAAGATGACGTAATGACACACATTTCATCATGTATTTAATGTTTCATAACATAGTCGACAGGATATATAAATATAGCTTGTTGATTTCTTCAAGGTAAGATAATAACCAATAAAATGGCGAGTACAGCAACAACAACAGTTGAAACAGCATTATGTATAATACCACCGGAAAATGTTTGGGAACAAATTCAAGCTATTCGTTCAATACATGACAAAGCCTATCCACGTTGGATGCCACATATTAATTTAATTTATCCATTTGTACCTGAGAATAATTTTGATAATATTAAAGTACAATTAGAATTAATTTGTAATCGAAAAAAACCATTTCAAATTCAATTTAATCAATCATCATTCGAATATTTTAAACAACGAGGTGATCTATGTACATATCATTTACGACCAACCACTTCTACTGATATTGTTGAACTTCAAAAATCAATTCAAAATCAATTATCAAATATAATTAAAACAAAACGTGCATTTGAAGCACATCTTACACTTGGTCAAACGACAACATCGGAAATATCGAATACATTAATTGATATAAAGAATAAATGGACAACAATTGAATTTACTGTCGATCGTATTTATATGATTAGTCGAGAAAATCATCCAGATAATTTATTTACAATTAAACGAGAAATTTTATTATTATCTCAAGAAGAATCTATTCCTCTTGCAATATCAAATAAACCATCGGTAATAAATTATCTATGTATTATTCCAACAAATGAATTTTCTTCATTTCTCCTACGTTTATTTGAACATACATCATTTCAACCACTAAAACCATTTCGACTTATTCTTGCCGAATATGAAGCTGGCCCTATTAAAACTGATTTACGTTCAAAACTTGAATCAACATTGAAATTTACAATTAATTTTACTCAAAATTCAATTAATTATGATGAAACAACTTCACGTGTTTACTTAAAACCAACAAATATAGAACCAATTCATCAATTAAATATACTTGATGATAGTAAATATGATGGTACATTAACTTTAGGAATATTACATAAAGATGATTTTAATAAAGTTAATGATCGTTTTATGAAGAATTGGACAATTGATACAAATCAATTTGAAATTGATCGAATATATCTAATTGATATAAAAGGACGTTCTCAATTTATTTTTCGATTAAAAAATTAATAAATATTTTATTCAGGTTTATTGATTAATTGGTTCGATACGTTGATGATGACTCCAACATCGGTTTTTATAAACTGTTGTCGAAACATTTTCGATGTTAATGTATAGAGATAGAATGATAACATTGGAAATATATTAAGGATCATTTCACTTATATATCCAAGAAATCCTTCGATAGCTTGACGATCGTTTGACTTATTGTCTACGTTCAATGTAAAAGCACTGTATACTGTGAAGACTATCCATGGTAATGTTGAGGTAATATAGAAAATAGCATGGCAATTGCTTGATAATCACGTACTTGAAGTATACGAACTGATTCATCTTCAATTTGAGACTGATTATTTTTTCGGCGACGTTCTCTTTTAAATGCAAGATTATGACCAATAAGTATAGCACATATAATCATAATCAATGGTGGAGTAAGATTACCGAGAATAATTGTAAAAAACTATTGTATACTGCAGAAGTAACAGACAACCAAGTACATTGACCTCCACTAGTTATACGATAAATTAAATTATGTATAGGTAATACAATCCAAATAATTGTAACACAGATAACAACACGATAAGCAATGTGTGATTGAGCATATCGATCAATACAAGCTATAGTCAAAAACCATCGATATGTCATTGTAGAAGATTGAGTTATATAAAATCGTATTTTACAAATTGAACATACGGTTGTAATCAGATTTACATAATAACCAGAATAAATATTCGGTAACAATCCAAATAAGAGTGAGACAATCATTGTTATTGATGCTGTAAGAAAATCTATGGTCAAAGAAAAAAAACTTATAACCAAAGTCTGATTATTTTATTTATTTTTTGAGTCAACTATAAAGTATACTTACATATACAACAGGAAACATTTCGAAATTGTTTTCTTGAGAAGAGTAAAATATTAAGTGAAGATCTCAGTAAACCAAATACTATAGCTACTGGATTGTAATAACGATTCATTTGTGTTTGGATGGTCAACAGAATACTGCTCAATGACATTCTAAATACTCTATGTCTCCAATAACCTTTTGAAGTACAGATATTTAATGAAATAATATATTTTTCTCCAGATCGTTTATTTTATATAGAACAATATATATATACGTTAACTATATCTAACATGCGAAAGTATATCGCATTATCATCATATAAAGATGTAACATCAATTAATCTACGCTACATTTGAAATGTTGAATGTAATTGAGCATATTTATCATGTCTTTCTTTATTTTTACATCAACCTCATTAACAATCTGCGTCATTTTATTCTCTATTTAAATTTCAAGATTAAACTCATTATGCATGATTTATTTATCTAGAACGTATTTTATTCTATACGATCAAGAATGAGAATTACTTACTTCTATAATCTTTATCAATGATGTAATTAAGAATTAATTTTCACTTTCAAATGATGATTTCTTTTTATATATTATTTTTGTGCCAATATGTTGACAAATATAAATACACTTCACAAAGAAGAAGAAGAAAAGCACACGTCAAGACATTCTTTAAATAAATATTTATATACATGCAACAAACACCTGTCCCAAAAAAGAAAAAGAAAAAAACAATTGAGAAGTGTGCGGGAATACTAATTAAATAGAATCTATATAGTTTAACAATAAAATTTTAAAGACGAAAAAAAAATCTAACGGAGAAATGTATATATATGTATGCTGTACAACAAACAACAGACAAGGCTCGGATCAAAGAAGAAAATTTTATATTTTGTTTTCTCATTGTAAAATATGGACACAAAGAAAAATATAAATATCTATATAATCATTTTGATTTACTGTTTTGTACATTTAAAAGAAGAAGAAAATAAATAAATAATATCCTATTGTTTTGTTTTTTTGTAAAAATGGAAAATTTTCATGGATTATTATCGTAATCTTGTTTGAGGATAAACAACATTACGTTCTTGTTCATCATCAGAATATCGTTGATTATTATAACGATTCCATGGATTTGTTCTTTCTGTATAATTATGTCGTTGTATTGGTGAATAAAAATCACTCAATGGTTCTATAATATGATGTGAGGGTGTCGATGATATTGGATAAACATAATTAACAGTTGGTATTATTGGTTGTCGTCTGTCGGGGATTGATGGTGATGGAGCTATTTCGAGTTCATATTGTGGTTTACGCATTCGAGGCATTGGATAAGGTATTGGTTCTACTAAAGAAAATTCGTCTTGTGATAATGATGGTGGTAATGGTGTTAAAAATTTTCGTGGTAATGGTAATGGTGTTTGAAGATTATAATGATGTTGTTTATCTTTCGATGATGAACAATTCAAACTATCTTCTCTTGGAAATGATGGATGATCCGATGAATAATCAAGATTTAATCGTTCATCAAAATCATTTACTATTAAATCTACGGACTGTTGTTTTTCTTGTGATGATGGCAGAGAAGAAGGTGATCTAGGTATTGATTCCAGTGTGGGAGATGGTAGGGTATCACGACGACGATAAAATAATATATAAGCATCCGGAGTACATACACGAGATGGATCTAATTCAGATACAAGATGATCATCATAACAGAACCATTTTCCTGTTACAGGGTTTTTACAATAAGCTGAAAAAAATCAAACATGTATAATATAGATGTGGAAATATTGATAGTTTGCTTACCTGTATAATGTCCATTTGACATACTTCCACGATGATTACAAACAGCAAAAATATCATAAAGTCCATATTGTTCTTGTTGATTTTGATCAGGAACATCTTGTTGATCATCTTCAGCTCCACTATCACCATCATTATTTCTTTTCGTTGATAGAAATCGTCTAACATCAAGACCAACAAGTGGAAATTGTACAGGATAAACTAGTTTTGAATTTGACATTTTTGTTTGACAAAAACGCTTTAAATGTATAATTAACACTGTTGGTAATGTTGAAATTTTTAAATTTTTAACTGTTCCATTCTCTTTTCGACGACAATTTGTACACATCCATGCATCATCCTAAAAACAACACATGTTCTTTGTTTGTTTTAAAAAGAATAAAAACATACATGATTTAAACTTTCTGATTGGGTAAATAATGAAAAGCAATCAGCTAAAGATATTAATGATGATGAAGGTTGATGTAATAGTGCACGAGCTTGAGTAACTGACTGATGAATATCAGGTTTATCATCATTACAACCCCATTTGGATATAAATTGTCCTAAATATTTCTCATGCCAATTAGCATAAACTTGAATATGTGATGGTCCAAGACCTGGACCATCATATGCATCAAGAATTTCAACAATTTTTTCAAGATAAAGTGGCCATTGTACATCATGAGGAATTGGATATTCTTGTTTTACTATTCCATTACTTGTTGATTGATATTGATCAACAAGTGATAATTGAAAAACTACAAATTCTTGTGCATATTCCATTGCTTCGTCACATATTATTGATCGTTGAGCTTTTATTATAGATAATTGTAATGCACGATAATTTGATTCACGTGGAACACGAATAGCTAAACAAAAACAAATCATTTTAATTAATTCGAGAACACAAAAAAAAGATATTACCAATCGGTGCACCAAATCGTTCTTCATGACCAGAATTTAATTGTACACGATTGAGTACTAATATATTAACAAAAGAATTATTTGGTGATGACGATTGATTCAATGATTCTGTAGTTGGTATGACATGTTCATTATTTTCTGTTGTTGACGAAGGAAATTGAATAGCATAAACATCATGTGTTAATCGAGACATTGGTTCTGTATCATGAAAGACTTGAGAAAAACCATTATGTGGTTGTATTTCAACAAGAGCAAGCTATTAAAAAAAATCACAGTAAGACTCAGATATGTTACACTAAAGTTAGAAAATAATATTTACATCATTTGGATCAAGATTAGATTGTTGAGCAATAGCTTCTCGAACATCTCTAACTGTATTTGTAACTGGTAAACATAAACCAATTTGTAATTGCTTTGGTGATTGATTAAGAAAGACAACAGTTATAAAAACCGATTTAATAATTTTTTGTGGTATTGGCAATGATAATAATAAATAAGGTTCAAATGTTTTACTCTCTTGTTTACATTGATTACAACGTAATGTTGAATGCAGTTGTGCACTAAATGTTGATGTTATGATACTTTGATTTGCATCTGTATAATCTAACCATGCACGATGTGCTGATGCTAATGATGAAGAAATCGTTGTTGAAGAAAATGAATTTACTTTAGTTTGTTGTCGTATTCTTCCATTAGAAACTAAATTTAATTCATCATGAATTGTATTTATAAGAAATAATAAAAATTCTTGAGCATCATTTTGTTCATTACCAGAATATTGTCGATTAAGATTACCGATAATAGATTTAAAATCATAGGATAATTTTGATGTTGTATTAGAAGAATTATTCCATAAAGCTTGAAATATTTGTACAAATGATTTTGTTACTTTAAAACCAAGTGGTTGAGGAGATGATGAATGTTGATAATCATGAATAGCATTTTTTATATTACGCATATCAATTTCATAACCTTTTCGAAGGATATATAAAGCTAATTGTTCCGTATGACATAAACATTGAACAATCGCATTTATAAAACTATAAAAATAAATATCGTATTTTAACGAGATTAAGAAATTAACTCTTAGTAAAACTTTTGATCTGAGAGTGTGACATAAAGAAATTTAATTAAATGTCATCACTTCTTTCGTGCGTAAATAACTTAGACGCATGTTGACATTGATTGTCTATCATATTCTCAAAAGAGTATTAATAAGATTCATTTTCATTTCATGCCTGTTCAACATTAATTCATGCTTCATCCTGTCCTTAATTTGACGTACTATATATAAACATAATTTAGAAAGTAGAATAAAAGATAACTATATATATTTTTTTTCAGCTTCATATTTCTCGAGTATTCTATTTCAAAATGTAATATCATGAATCTAGTCAATTATGTTCTTAACCTCAACTTTCTGATGTTAGAATATCTTATTTTGTATTTTATAATAAGATACAAGGATAGATTTCTAATTAAATAAGAAGGTCAATAATAATAAAAAATGAATCGTAAGAATTACCATGTATTTCCACAATTTTTTAGACCATATAAAAATGGTACATGTTGTGTTGCAGGTGCTAATGTTCGTCTAGCTGATTTTCTTCGAATATCTAAACGTGTTAAAGAATTTCTTCGATTTTCATTTGGATTTAGTATATTATTATTCATTGTTGATGATGATTGAGAATTTTTAAATGAGATTATTGGTGAATTTGAATGATTAAAATTTTGTTCATGAGAATTAGTAGATTTTTTTGTTGAAGAAAAACTAATTAAACGTTTTAAACGAGAAATAAATGATCGATGAGATTTCGATGATTGAGATAAAACAGATTCATAACCGGATGATGATGATGATGAAGCATTTGTATTTGTTTTATATAATAATGTAGCATCAGATGAATGTGTTGTTGTAGGTAAAACATTAGAAACAAAATCAACTGAACCAGATTGCATTGAACCTAATGTACGTATATGATGATGAAGAGAATTTGTACTTGTTAATGGAGATTTACTTAAAAATAAATAGTAGTTTTTATTAAAACTAGAATAAATAAATGAAATACTTTACCGGCCAACAACATCAGCAGCATCACGTGGTTTTTGAGAATTATAAGAGCCAAAATCGGTACTAGCTGCATTTACACAATGTTGAACCATAACTTATTTTACGAATTAAATAAATGAACCA